ACTACCTTTTGAGGATTCCAGTTAGTGATATTGCCTGGTCACATTCCCTAAGGAACACATGTACCAACACATGTGCGTTGAAGTTCATGTATTGGCTCTTCCATCCCCATAGACTGCAGGTGGAGCCTAGTGAGAGATGGTTAAGTCAATCACCCATGGGCAGAACTGCAGGTGGGGGGTCACACCTGCTTTGCTGTGACTTAGTCTCTTAAAATGAGGAGTTACCTCACTCATGACCGAATGCCATCATCCTGGGTGCAAATCTGCTGCTATACTGAATGTGGTTCCTGATATCCTTTTGCTTTTTGCCTGTCTGTTTTCAGCCATGAAGGAGTATACTCTTAGATGCCTCACTCTTGGAAACTGGGAAAGAAATATCTCTGGTTTATGAATTATCTAGTCTGTGTTCTTCTGGCTGAGTCAGATAAGGGCCTGGTAAATACATCTTTTATTTCCAGACTTTAAACACATGACACTGAGCTAATGTTAGCCGATAGCTCTTGACGATTTCTCTGTATGGAAAGACCTCACAGATCCCAGAGTTTCACAATATAAAGAGGCTCCTGTATTCCAGATAGGCTCCATGTGTGTTCTGTATGTTTGCTTTTGGCCACAGTGCAGAGAATTCCATGCAATCTGCCCTGAAACTTCTCGGTTTAACCAGGGATTTTTTGTTCTCCGAGAATCGATTTGCTTTGATGCCTAGTTTTCTACATCAAAGGGAACACAAGTCTAATTTCAAGAGGAAGGAAGTGAGCAAGTGATGGGTGGTGCCTTGACAGCAAAACAGCACAAAACAGCTGAGCTTGTGCAACAGAACTGTCTGGAAAAAAGAAAGTCAACTGAGTGTCTCAGCTCCTCATTCCTCACACTTACTGCTTTCCATTCCTATTTCAATGGCTGTTCTACTCCATAGCTTACCCTACATCTAGTCCCCTGCCCTTTCCTTTATGGCAAAGACACAGTAATACTGCTCCCCAGTGCATCTTGGTCCCTAAGAGAAGAATGATGCCTGATGCTCATATGCATGGTCCCTTCTCATTCCTTACGATCCTTTATGAGCTGATCTTCAACTAACTGGATGATTTGGTCACCAAATTTGTTTGTTTAAATCTTAAGTTTGAATTGAACAGTGCTTAGTTGGCTTTCACTTCATCGTTTTAAGGGGGTCACGCAGCCTCAATTTTCCACCACAACTGGAAACTGAAGGAGTAAGAGAGTTGAAATCTGAGGGAGCATAACAAGAATCTGTTTGTTGAAAAAAATTCTTTTCAATGTATTATTCATTAATAAATGTATTCATAGGAAGAATACATTTACGAGGATTGTGAATATTCAAGGATCTATTAGAAAACAGGTTCTTCATGCATATATTTATAGGAAAGGCAGTTTTAAGAGGGAATATATTTATGAGTTTTATGAGTGTATATTCACGGAGAACACATTATCAAATAATAAGAATATATTCACAGGAACATTTCACATGCAAAGTGATATTTGTCAGCTCCCACTAGGAGTTGCAGCAGCAAAAGAATTTAAGATGATATAGAACACAAAAAAAATCAACTGAATTAATGGGAAAAATTGGTCATTGGGTGGAAGGTTAAGAATCAGTTTAGATCAAGCAAATGTTGCAAAGAGCAGAATCCTATTCAAACCCAGGCCTCCCTCCAAGGTCCAAGTGCCCTTATTACCTCCGTGAACTCTAATTCTGACTCAGAAGGTTGGGGGTAACTCTAGACAGAACTAAATTGTCTCAGAAATTCCAGAAGATTTGAAAACCATCATTTGACCAGGGAGAGCTAACATGCTATCACAGAGTTCATCTCTGGTGTTGCCATTCTAGGAGATTCTTTTAATGTGTGGGTTATATAAGGTCATGTATCTAATCCAAGAAGGGAAGTGTGTAGAAGTTGTTAAGGACAGGTTCATTCTAAAATGTCCTAGAGTTGTTGCAAGTGAGATAATTAAGCTTTGCAAAAGTTATCTAAAACTACAGTCATTCTGAAAGTAAAGTTGGAGAAGTCCTGAGCTCCCTTAGGTTTCTTGCTAATGATCTAAATTTCCAGTATCATGATGTGGACTTGTGCTGTGTTGTGCTGATGGTCCTGTCGGGGAACTCTTCCTAATAATATAAATGTTTGTATTTCTTGGAGTCCTGTTGACAATTTTTCTGCTTTCTTGCTGACTCAAAGGCATGTTCTAGGTGAGATTTCAGAGGAATGGTCATAGGCGGTAGGCCCCCCGAGCCCTAGGTTTGTGGATACTGTATGACACCTGTTATTATGTAGGGAATCTTCCTGGTAGGGTAAAATATTTCAATCTTAATAGTTCAGACCGCTCTTGAGAGCACTGGCAGGCAAGTGGGAATGGAGGGAGAATGTCTTGAATGGAAGGAATTTACTTTCTTCTGTAGTAAGTTTACTCCACTGCCACTGTAAAGAAATCGTTTTGCAGACAGCTACTCTGTTTAAATACCAACGTGTCATGTGCAGCATGCTGCCTACATTCATGAGACACACAGTCTTCAAATCAAAATTAAAAAAAAAATTCCCATTGTAGGTACTATTTTCCATCATCCAGGTGGTTTGAAAGCTGGTATTGGAGTTTGATTGTCTTGCTTCATTCATCACACAGCGTGCGGCTGTGTGTCTAATAAGTGCCAGAGACGACATGAAGTACAGGGAGTCAGTAATAAACATGACTGTCATGGACAGGCCACACATCTTCTAGACTGATGGGAAGAGCTAAAGACATAGCGATACCACTGAAGGATGACGTATAATAGAAAAGCAGGTACTGGTTTCTGTGACGATCACCCACGGTGAAGATGCCTAAAGAAACAACTGAGATGCTGAACTCGGCTTTGGAGTAGGATATATAGCGGTGGAAGGTGCCCAACAATAAGAGCACAGTGAACTTGGAAGATAGAAGTCCAGTTTAAACCTAGCATGAGGCATCCTAGAGAGAGGATAGAAGGTGGCAAATAGGGCTGGATTATAGAGTGCCTATAGGATGCTGGACTGCAAGCAGCAGTATGTGAGAACTGGCTATGTTCGCCTCTTCCTACTCCAGTGGTTGTGTGGTGGTAGGAGAATTTACACCATAGAAATAGACAGACTTGGATGACATTTATTTCATGGCTTGGTTGACAACTTTAATGATGGTATTATTTTCTTGGGTAAAGAGATCTGAGTTTCCTTTCGGGATATGCTAAGATTGGGAATATAGATATAAGTAAAATAAATAGAATATAGATATAAATCTATCTATACCTGATAGATGTCTTTTAGGACAAATAGTTCAACCCCAATTTTGCTCAATGTCATTTATTCTATGCTGGACACTACTGATAAAATATCTTGTAGTAAGAATATGAGACACAAATCTTAAGGTTTTTTTTTAATAAATAAAATGAACAATTCTAAAGCTTGTGTTAGTTAAAAACGTTATAACTTAGTCTCTCACACTATTAACATCTTAACTGTTTCCCTAGGAGAATATGCCTAAGGAGCACAGCAGTCAAACCCAGCAAATTTCTCTGCTGGAAAATACAAGCAATTGCCTCTGTTCTCCCATAGCTGACCCTCGACTGTAGGCAGGCACAGGCTATGACCACACATCCAGCGTGAGTCTACTTTTACACTTTATTAATATTTAAATACACTACAACTTTAACAGTAGAAGCAGTGATTCTTTATTCCATATAGAAGTCTACAAAAAAAGAACAAACCCAATAAACAAAAAAAAATCACAGACAGTAGAAGCAGAGATTCTTTATTATTCCATATCAAACTTACCTTTAAGCATCTAAAGATTTTTTTTCTTCCTCAGTGACCTAAAGTTAGAGAAAATTCTCTCAGCAGAATCAACTTTGTTAAGTTGAGGACATTCTTAATGTAGCAAGAGGATATTGTCAGGTCTGCTTCCTTCTTGTGGCTTCCATTTTTGTTCCCACATCTGATGGATCAGCTGGATGAACCTTTGTTTCCAGGAGGATTAGCTGTCGTTGCTACTGCATGAAAAATGATAAAGAGTTGTAGACTTGGAGTTCTAATTATTTGCCACTATGAAGTGATCTTTCCACAACTTGAATGACAGACACAGTGAACAGATCCTGAGCTCCTCTCTGGAGGTCTTCTGTCCTGCTGCCATGCCTCTGTAGAGGTAAAACCAGACCTGATTGCTTAATTTTTTTAATCATCAACAGATGAGGGGAGAGTCCATCTGAAGGTTCACCAGCATGGGAGCTGGAGAAATTGCACACAGGTGGGTCTTAGACCAATACCACTGTGAACAAGTGTCTGAGACAGCTCTGCCTGCAGGTCCTCAGGACTGTCTCAGCAAGTTCCTGGAATGGCCCCCAACCACTCCTCTGCTATTTCTAGGCACACCCCTTGTGATAGGCTCCAGGGCACCATGGAACCATAACCAAGGAACGGTGAGGGATAAAAATGAGGATCCGTGGATCATGAAAACAATGTGCTTATTAGCAGTTTAAAAAAGATCCATACTTTCCTGAGTTAAGGGTCCAGAAACCTCATGAGTCTTCTTGAAAGCACCAGGATCCCATCTCTTAGACACAAGGCACTCGATGACAGATGCAAGCTGTGCTCGGATGTAGTTTCTGGTGGATGCATTCACGATGCATTAATGAATTGATTTTCTGGCATTTTACCACTTGAGACACACTTGCAGAATGGAAAGTGTTTTCTTTTAGAGAGGAGAGTAGGGATGCACACAATGGCTTATTCAGTCTGTTTGCTTCAGTATACCAAGCAGTAAGGATGCCACCCAAACCCACACTTGAACCTATCTAAGCATCTGAGTCATTGGCACTTGTTCATTGATCAAAGTCTGCTGTATGCCTAAACCAGACACTTTAAAAGGTCCAGATTAAATATTGGTATGACCATGGGGACATTAAATTCAAATGGATGACTGCCCACCATGTCCCCCAAAGCATAAGTCCTGGTGTCGGTGGGTGTTCAGGAGCATATTTATCTTCTGGCTTCTTGGCCAGAGGCAACATCATCTTCAGTGACATCTTGGGAGTTCCTGAACATCAAGATAGAATTGTAAATCTTCAGCGCTGGGCCCAGCTTGATTCTCATCACCTTGACAATATCTGCCTGGGTCAGAAGCAGGAAGGCTTTGCCATCTATCTGCTGTAAATAAATAATCACGGACACAATTATTCCACACTGGAATCTGTTTATCTACCAGTAGCAGTTCTGGGATACTGAGGGTGACACTGAACCTAGATGTCCTTGTTAGAGGGAGGTCCTCTCATTTGACTCAAGTCAAATAAACTGTTGCTATTACAGAATAGTCAAATTAAACCTGAGGGCTCTCAGTTTGTTGAACATAAGCCCAATATATTAAATTGCCTGAGCACAAAGATTCCATTGTTATGTTTTAATTTTTTTTTTTGGCCTGAATGTACCAAGAGCATTAAAAGTACCACCAAGTAAGTCTCCAGTGAGTAAGTCACTATGCACATGCCTTATCTAGTGTTACTGTAGTAGTGGAACATAGGAGACAACCGAATATTTTACCAGCATAAGAAAATAAAGTGTAGTTTAGCCGTTGGGTGACGTGGTATACAACCCAATCCCCACAAAGCACATTTCAATGTAATGGTCCATGATCTGTGAAATTTCACAGATTGTTAAGCAGAAATGCAGAAATACATAGCATAACAATAGAGATCTTCTAATTTTAAAAAATAAATCTGTATAAACACATATTTGAAATTTTGGAAACCTCTGTCCAACTATATGGGTCAGTGGGTAAAAGTAGTTGCTGCTAAACCTGATGACTTGAGTTCGATCCTTGGAACTCATGATGGAGGGAGAGAACTGACTCCTGGTATTGTCCTCAGATCTCTGAATGGATGCTGCAGCATGCATCCACATTGAGACACACACACACACCATAATATAAAGCAATCCTAAAATATTAGAAAAAGTTATTCACTATAGCAATAGAAGTCATCTTTGGCTCTCAGAACCGTGGTTTGTCTTAATTTTATCCATTTAGCTTTTCAATAATTTTAAGTTTTCTTTCTATAATAAAAAATACCATAAAGAGGAAAACCATGTAATTCCTATTTCATTTATATAAACGATACCAGAATGATTCTTGGCTCCAGTCTAAATTGTGGAGTGATGATATATTAAGGGCCTTCACTGTGGTAATTCTGTGCATATGGTGCTTATATACGCCCATCAAACTACCATGTTGTATATTTTGACTGAGCTTAGTTCTCACTTGACAGCTAAATGTTTTTAAGTCAGGAAAACATGTGGGCATATGAACTGTGGCGGTTTTCCTGAGTCACATGATACTGATTAGTCATCAGGTGAACTGTTGGTCCACAGCTAGACTCTGTGGACTGCTTAGGGGTCCTGATCCCATATGATACTGACACTTGTATGGTTACCGAGTTCAGCTGACCAGAGACCAGGATGGAAGGGTTTCTATGGCAATTCCTTCTGAGAGTCAGGACCATTCATGTAAACCTCCTCAGATCTGACAGTACAACCCTCTTCCAGTTGATGTCTCCTTGATGGTGCTGTTCCCTTTGATGGGAGAATTAACTACCAGGTGCTCTTATAAAAGCTCAATAAACTTTGGATACCTCTAGGATATATTGTCTGATGAAGACACCTCTGCTTAAAGACTAAAACTCTTTTCCTGAATATAAAATTCCTGTTTTCCATACGTAGGCTGGACCTAGGCCTCCCCACACATATGTAACAGACATGCAGCTTGGTCTTCATGTAGATCCTGAACAACTGAAGCAAGGGCTATTTCAAAAGCTGTTGACTGTATGTGGGATATATTATTTTAGCTGGGCTGCCTTGTCTGGCCTCAATGAGACAACATCCACCTAGCTTCACAGAGACTTGATGTACCAGGTGATACTCCAGGGTAAGGGTGGGGCACCCGCTCAAAAGAGAAGAAAAAAGAGGATCACAGGAGGATTGTGGGAGAGGATGACTGGGAGTAGGGCAGGAGTGGGATAATTTTTAATACATATAAATTAAGTATGCAAATAGCTCAAAATCAAAATGAAACAAACAAAACTAAATAAATAAATAGATAAATAAATAGAAAATCTTCCTGTTCTCTGAGGCAGGAAAGAGAGGCGCTGTACCCTTTTCTGTCCTGACCTGGGTTTAACACCAGCATTTTCAAGCATAAATCCCTGACCAAATAGTCCAGTTGTCCTAAGAATAAGACAGTGGTAGTGAAGACAACAGCTACCATTTATGGTGGCATAGGAGTCTGCTATAATCTCTGATACGTGTTTTACCATCCTGATGACCCTATAAGGTAGATGAGAGAGCTTGGAATGTCAGACTTAAGGATGTGCCCAGCGTCTCACAGCTTCTCAGAGGCAGAGACTAGTGGACCCCTGAGCAGATGCCCTGCTCTGTATTGCTTTCCTGTGAAGACCACACTGGCTGCTGTACTTGAAAGATCCCAAGAGTCTGTGCATGAGATAGGGTGGGGCAAGAGGGTTTCAGCGATGTGCAACACAGTACGCAGAAAGTATCAAGCTTAATACTTCCCACATGGGGTTGTGTGCTTTTCATAACAACAGACTTGCAGACAAACTGAAGAGAGTGGGCTGTGTGCAAGCCTGGGTGCGGTGTGCCCAAAGTGGGGCTGTGCTCTGGTGCAACCACAGAACCCCGAACTTAAATAGTAACTACCAAATCTGATGGTCCCAGGACCCAGGACTTGAAGAGGACTCCCCTTGAATCATGCACACTCTGAACTCAAAGAGTAGGCAGGTGTTTCATGCTTTAGATTCCCTAGGATGTAAGCACTGGAACCCTGAAGGACAATAGTGAAACTTCTAGAATCATCGGAGAGGGCAGTCTGTGACACTGCCCCGTGCCCACTGTGCCCAAGGATGGCCTCTAAGGCAAGCTGCCTTTACAGAGAGTGTTCTGAGAACAAAGGACAACTGTAAGTTGCCTCCTCAGTGCCATGCTGCTTCCTGTCTTCTCGTGGTTGGGAATGTTCTTAGTTGCTTAGCATTTTTCATAAGCTAGCAACCATAGTCCCAGGGGCTACAGAGAAGGCTGTGTCTGCTGCAGATGATAAAGGAGATCATGTTGATGGCTGTGTTTATCACATGACTGCTACAAACCTGCATGTTCCCGAGCTTCTGACTTCTCACATCCATGCTGAAGCAGGTGCAAGCAGGGTGACAGGCTAGGCTTACTCTCACCTTAGAGTAGAACTTTCATCCCTCTCCCCACAGTTGCCTGGAACTACCAATGGGGAGCCACCAATGGGGAGCCACCAATGGGGAGCCACCAATGGGGAGCCACCAATGGGGAGCCTTCTTGGCTCCCATAGGTACTAAGCATCTAATACTCTCCTACATAATAGTCTGAGAGGTGCACCCAGCATCTTTGACAGGAGGACTAAGGGTAAGGATGGCTGTGCACAGGCTACACTGCTCTGCTCTTCTTTGATCCTTTTCTCTTGCCTCCTCCATCCAACTGCTCTTATTTACACTTAAATAGATGGAAACAAAGCACTCCTGGGCCTAGAGGAGAGGGCATATATCTAACTTTTCCATTTATTACCTCCTTCTTGAAGCACTTGGCATGTTCTTCACAGCCCAGAAGAGACTGTACAAACTCAGCCACCTACGACACGGGAGAAAAAAGAGGAATTTAAGACATGCACCTGAAATAACTTGGGGGTTTGAAGTAACTCAGCTTGTGAATAAAAATAGACCCCAAGCCCCAAAACACTTGGAATTTAAATAGTAACTATCAAATCACATTATCATATTTTTAGCTCATTAGACGCGTCCTGTGCCCAATGTGTTTTTCCATCCTTTTGCCACACAGCTGGCCCACACAGGGTAGGTTGATAAAGGGACAGTTGACCTACATCTGTATGGGGGTCTGGCACTGGGAGAGTCTCCTGCATCTGGTCCTCCTCATCATGTGAAGATAGTGGCCTTGGAAACTAGGTATCATAGGGCCATCAAGATAACAGGGACACCTTACTTTCGATACTTCTAAATAGCAAATTCTTGATGCATCATGGGCCCACCCCACCTGGCTCCTGGCAAGCGCGCACACTCCATGCATCTGTGCTGAACTAGATTCCCACACAAATGATGATAAAACTGGAGCTCAGAGAGGCTTAACAACTTCATAGTCCTACTTGGCCGGTGAGCAGTGGAGATTTTGAATCTCAGGTTACCTATTCTACCAAGCTGAGTTTGGGAAGTCACTCTCTTCAACTTAACTTTCCCATCTTTCCTCATAGCTCATCTTCTTCTATACACACACACACACACACACACACACACTCCTCCTTGTAGTAAGACAGCTTAATGACCTGACTGACAACGCAGATAGCCATCAAGTGTGGGTTCTGGATAAATGAATGGTGTTGACTCTAGACTCTGGATAAGTGGATAGCAATGACTCTTGAGTGATTTGACAGATTGACCAGGGCTGTGCATGGGCTGGCCCTGGCCTTAAGCTGGACTTGGAGAACATGCATTCTCAGCGTTAAGATCTTAGGTGAGCTTGCTTGTTGTTTTCTCTTTCTACATCCTGGTGTGACTTGGTGGTGAGCACTTGTGATTTCCATGAAAAGGGGAAGATCTGGAAAGAGCAAAATTTGTCCTCATACCAACTCCCCACCTTCCTAGAGCCCAAAAAACATACTCCCTCTAAGACTCCAGAAATCAGTGAGTTCTGCTCCTATAGGGGTAGAAATGGACACCAATTGTTGAGATGACTATTCTTAGGGCTCAGTATAGTACCGTACTCTTGTGGCCACACTTAGTCCATGGGGACTCAGAATGTTCAGCTCTTACAGGACACTTGGTGTGGGCTTCGTATTGCTTTCTTACTTGCCCTGGCACTACAAGTCTGGCTCAGCAGAATTAATTTACGATTATCCTTCTAATGAGGAAGGGAGGATACAAATTTTAGGAAACTTCCTTAGCAACCAGAAGGTGCCCTGCACAGACATCCCGGTGTGGGAGGAATTCAGTGCAAGTGTGATCAGACCAGACTTCGTTCAACGTGGCAGATAGCGGTCCACTGGATGCCTCATGTTCCCTGAGAGCTCAAGCAGAGGAGGTCTGTTCAGCTCACAATGTTAATATGACTGTTTTTTCCTAGATGGATAGAAAGCATGGAACATATATTGGGTATCTGCAGGGAGTTGATGACAGTCATGAAAGGCCACTGGTCAAGTCACTTTCATGAGAAACCAGGTCAAGTGTTAGCAGCTCTGAAGGAGGCTGAAAAGGGGCTGCAAGAGTCCAGGACTTTGATGGGTCTGAATGCCTCCCAGGCTGTTCTTTTAGCTGAGCATATCTACCATGATTATGTATGAGGACTTTGTGATGGACACACCTCTGGACAGAACTGAACTATTGTCGAGTCTAAGGCTCAGTTCATAGCGAGGAGAAAGAAGAATGTCCTGAAGGAACAGCTTGCCCATCACTATAATATACACAATCACGTGTGAGACCCTTTGCAGGAGAGAGGCAAAGGCTTTTGGGTGGAAAGATTGTAGCTCAGGGGAGCTCAGGGAAAGATCAGAGGGGAGAGGCACCTTCAGTAGACACAATATTTCCTGGGATTAAAATTTCTGACAGATGTGTAGATTCCCAGGAGCTAGCCCAGAAACAAGACAAGCGTGAGCCTGAGGAGCAGAAGGCAAATCGGGAGTAAGCAAGGTGGTGTGGTCTCCTGGGATGGATTTGTGCTCCTGACAGCAGACAGCAGGGAGCCTGAAGTCCTGGTCCTTGGCTTGGCCACACATCACCATCTCCTGCAGAGCTTGCAGCCTGACTGAAACATGGACTCAGGCCACAGAGATTATGGATGAATGGAGCTGGACAGGGTCCAAGCAGTGGACATTTATTTGCAAGGTCCAGAAAGATGCTGCTGTGTGTTGATGGTTGTATCCACAAAGCAAGGGCGAGCTGTAAAGGTGAGACTTCGGTCTCTGCCTAGACTCCTGAGGTCACCTTCAGTAGGTAGGAAGAGATCAGCTATAGCCTAACGGGAAGCAGGAAGCCCAGGAGAGCCAGCTGCTGAGGGAGGAGGGGGTATGTGCAGAAGTCAAATCCTCCACACTGGAGAGGCTGAGAATAGGGAAAGGAAGCCAAGCCAAACACAGGTTTCTCAGCCTTGGGGCTACTAAGTCCTTGGCATAGGCAAATCTTCTGTAGAGTGCTTCTGTGTATCATGGTGCTCTTGTTCAAATTCCTGGCCTCTAATCCCTAGCTGTGAATAGCAATTTTATCTTCTAGCTGTGACATCCAAAAAGAGGCGTCCACAGGCTGCCAAAGGCCCCTTGAGTCTACTGCCAGAGGGATGCTCTCCCACAGGAAGAATCACTAAATATCATAGGTGAGGAAAAAAAACATAGAAAGGGTAGACCAGGACTTGGTTCAACACCTATGCTTTGCTCTACTTTGTTCAGGATCAGTGTGTGGAAGGCATGCCAGTCACAGGGGCAGTGACCTCTCATGTCAAGCTGAAGTAGTTGCTTAAGACTGTCTCTTGGTCCTTGTGACAAGAGCTTCTGCTCACTGCAGAAGAGTGGAGAGTTGATAGGATCATTTGCATATCATTTGCATGTGTCTGTCACTGGGTCCCTCTGTAGCCAGTACTACAAGGACTCCTTTTTCTTCAGCATAGTTAGCCAAGAGTTCACCATCAACTGCAAAGGTAAAGACAGTTCTGATGGGAATAAATAACACATGAAACCAATGCATCAACAGAGAAGAGCCTGTGTGGCTGAGTGGGGACATCACCTGTTTCCTTGCCACTGGCATCTTTTTATGGGGGCTTGGGCTCCTCACCTTAGCTCTCTGCACACAATGGGTTCTCATTACCTGTCCCAGATGCTCTGCTTTTTGGAATGGTCCCTATTCTTGCTTTGATGGTAAAGACCAATGACATGATCTCTACTAAGAAGGAAGTCTTTGTCCAGATCTCAAAAATACCCACAAAGCCTTGTTTGGTATTTTTAGTGAATACTTACTGTCCTTAAAACTAGGCTCTATGTTGAATTTTAACAGAAAGCTTGTTTGGCTAGAGAGTTCACAACTGTAAGTGCTAAGATTTTACACACAGAGAATACTGAAGGGCCTTCCTTTCATTATCCCATTCAAAGACCCTTTCTCTTATAAACATGTGATAAGATGCAGACAACTGCTCAGAGAGTGAAGGCTCTCTGAAGGAAGAAACAGTTGTCATTTGCTACCTACCCCTCTCTTGCAAATGCTACCCATGAAGTGGGTCTACTTTTGAAGGCAATGAATACCCTGTTTGAGCCTTGTGGGGGACTCAGGCCACGGCTGGCTCTGGAGGACACCCATGGTGTGGGAAGATGCTATGTGAACTTGTGCCCTAAGCTCTGATTCTGGGAATGTATCCCTGGCTTGAAGGCTGCTCTGGGGACTTGTACTGTTGTTGGTCATGGTTCTGGGTTCTGGGGATCATTCCGGGTACAGGAACTGACAGGTGTCTGTCTTCCATGGTTTCGGGAGCACGGTGTTCTGTGCCCAAAACCCAGGTTTTATTTTGGAAGGACTCCGAGTGAGTTAATTGTAGGCATGAGACAGCAGTTTGGGAGACTAAGAAGGATGAGTGTTCCTGGGCTCTCCCACTGGCCTTCCACTTTATCCATCTCACGTTCCCCCATGACCTACTTTCCCTGGCTTCCTCCCTGGCGCTCAGCATGCCTCCTTTCTGCGGTGGGCTGCTTCTTCCATCTTCCCAAATGACGGCGCTCCTCTCTTGCTGAGCCTGGAGATGTGAGCTGGATCTCACTGCCTGAAAATCCACCAGGGATTGTGTTTCCACTCTGACTGTAATTTTTTTTTTTAACAGCAGAGTTTATGTGTCCCCTTTTGAAGGGCCCAATTGCAGAAGGATGCTATGCTTAGCCAGCAGTACCCTGGATTTTTCAAAACACTGCCTCCTTTGTAAAGCCTGCTTTTAAAGTGACTGCCATCTTTTATAGTTAATGAACATTTAGGGAGCACTTGGCTGAGAGCAGGACGATTTATATGCTTTCCTTTAAGGAGCATTTTAGAATAGAAGAGGTAAAAGCAACTGCTTGGAGACAAACAAAACTGCGCAGCTGTGCCTGGGATGGTGAATGTGCACTGTAGCCTGTGAGTGGGGGGACAGGAAGTGTTCACTCATTCACTCATTCATTCACTTATTTATTCATTCATCCACTCATCCATTGACTCATTCATCCACTCATTCATTCATTCATTCATTCACTCATTCACTCATCTATTTACTCATTCACTTATTCATCATTCCACTCATCCACTCACTCATCCAGTCACTCATTCATTCATTCTCTACATAGACCTTGGTCACACACCTACACTGAATAAGAAGGTTTGCTGTGAAGATGTACAAAAATGTATTTAAAATACCCTAAAATATTTTACTCCTTGATCTCATAAGCTCGTACTCTTATGCAGACTATGTGCCTGTCACTGAGTGAGAAATATGAAATATGCTTCTACAGATGATAACTCAATGTATCCTCACATCCTCACCTCTAATGCAGTGTTACAAAGCAATAGCATTTATGACATATAACGTATTACCAGGTGTTCTTGCCTTTCATTTCATAGCCACTAAACCCACTTCACAGCCTCCCCATGCTTTGCAAACAGCACCGCTGAGAGAGATGGCAACAGTGATGAAGAAGATAAAGCCAGTTCCCAGCTCCGTGCGAGTGACAAAGAGCTTGAGCTAGCTTCTCTTCACAGGTCACATTAGATGGAGCAGAGGTCTGCCTCCCAGGCCAGTATGGAGACAAAGGGAATATTGTCTCTCTCCAGCTACTGCTATAGGCACTCCCTGACTAGGTCCCACTGAATGGCACTTAACACAGGAGGCCTGAATTCATTGCAGCACACCTTGTCCCTGGCAGGGACTCCCTTTAGCTCCCCTTTAACCTGTCCATTGCTAACAAAGCCCAGAAACAGCTCTCTCAATCTAGGTCAGGCCTGTGCTGCTTTCAAATAATACCTCCTTAGTTACCATTCTTGTTGTGCTGTCCAGAGAGCAGCCTTACGACCAGTTGGCAATGGTACCCACTGATAGTGGTGCTCACTGAATGCCTCCCAGGCCTCCCATGCAGGTCTCAAGAGAGCAGCCTTATTTGCAAAGGCATAACAAACCATAAACTCCACATTTTAAATCCTTTAAAGATCATTCTTGAAGGGTATACTGCAGTGTCAGGAAATGTGCATGGTGATTAGAGACACAGAAAGAAGTGCCGGGTGTTCTTGTTCTCAAGTGCATCTTATTGGATGTCAAGGCTTGGCTTTGGCAGTAATGAAAGCATCCCTAGAACACATCCCCAAATGGAAGGTGTGATTAGAGAGCATCAAGAGGAGTCAGGGGCAGGGGTTCTAGATACAAGACACTTGGCCTCCCTGTGGCTTTTCATTAATCTAAAGGCCCCAATGTCTCTTCCTGCAGTAGAAGGCTAGGATGTGTGTGATCCATGACAGAGAAGTCAGGAACTGGAAATCCCCTTCCTAACAGGTTGTTTAGCCTCTTGTCATCTTCTTTTGAGAAATCCTCGATCTTAATGAGAGGGAGCATTCACTCGCCTCTGCCACCTTCAACCTCTTGCCTCTAAGATCATTAAATGTTAAACTTGAACTTGAGCAGACTCTCCTTCCCTGTCAGACACCTGCCTAGTGCTGTGTGATCCTGCCAGGGGCTGCTGATCTTCTTATATTTTCTTCTATATTTTCCCAGAGAAAGGAATAAAAGCCTGCCCTCCTCCATTATAAGAAACACTCATTGAGCACAGGCTTTCAGATCTCCCACCTGACTCTCCAGTCTCTGGACTGACAGCACTGTACAGTTTGCTTCTTACTTAGGGAAACAACTGAAAGTATCTTGAAGGCCTGAGACGTTCCTCATAAAGCATGGGGAACATTGCATGTGTACCCATGGCTTGACTCCTCTTCGAGTCTTTGTACCATGGACTATTGGCCTCCATGTTGCCCTGCCTCCCTGGAGCCTTCTTGATCCTCAGGTGACTCAATTTTCAGTTCTCAGTTCCTCAGAGTCTCTGTCTCAGGGCATTGTGCTTTCGGGAAGCACTCAACCCATAACCTTGCCTATACTTTCCAACGGTAACACCTCACTTGCTGTCTGTTCCATCAGGCCATGGAATCTCGCCTTCAATTCTTCATGTCCCTTTGGAAGACCTCATTTGGTCTCCCTATTGCTACACTGGTCCTTCTCCTGATGGCACTATGGTCCCCCATTCTTTCAGAGACACTCCTTAGCCTTGCAGATCTCACAGGCTATTCAAGCCTCATCAAGTGCTGAACCACTTAGTCCCAAGACTATAAAAGGAGTCACATTTGGCTCACTTTACTCTTCCTCTTCTTTGTCTTGTCTATTTCCTGTGCACTGAGTTTGACTTTAAAATAGCCACTGAAGTCAGATGTTTCACACCACACAACTCAGCCCAGATCCCTGCCTTTCTGGGGCTGCCGGTAATATAATGGGTAGTATCTTCCTCTCTGGCTTTGCTCTCCCTCTGCAGAAAATCATTCCCATCTCCCTGAATCACCATGCTCAGAAAGTGACTTTCTGCCCAAGAACCAAGTAGAGCACAGCTGCCGACTGAGCCATGGCCGCCTGTCCACACGCCATTACATGCAGCTGCTCTTTCCTGTCCCAGGTTAGCTACTTCTATGCTCAGTGTGTGCACACTGGGAAAATGCCAGCTCATGGCCTGGCACTGACCATGTGGCCCTGAGAAAGTCAATTAGCTTGGGGGCATCTCACTTTCTTCAGCTGTCAGATGGGTAAAATAAGACTTTGCGTCTTGCCATTGTTAACCTAATATACACTGTTGGAGTCTATTGAGGGGGAGAAGCCAACTCTAGCCTTTCTTTCCAACTGGGAGAACATGGAATGCCTAGCTTGGATGTCAGTAAGGAGCTGCGTGTCAGTTAAACACCTCGCTTCTTCAGTACCCCTTCACATATGATTTTGTCATAAACAGGTTTTGATTCAGTTGGCTTTTTGGTCATGAACACACGTTGCAGACAAGCACAATTCCCCAAGGAGGAACAGAGTCAAATATTCTTTTAGGAATGGGATCCTGTTCTTTTATTCTCCCTTGTATTCTCTAGCCTGTTGACTGGGCACTCTACTACCATGATAATATGAACCTATCCCTCCACAGAATGGACAAGAGGTGGGTAGGTAGATATAGCATGCCAAGGGACAGTGCCAGCTCGTTCTTCCCCTTACTGGGGGAACCTGGGTAAAATGGAGTCCCAGGTTCTCAGATGAGGTCCCTGTGTGGTATGTCACAGGGCCTCCCTCATATTTCCCAAGTCTGCACAGTCTCAGCGCAAGGATCTTAGAAAGAAAAGCCTAACCCATTCCAAGGGAAGATAATTGGTATAGGCTCTTGGTGAACGGCTTGGAGCTAATTTAATTCCAGATCTAGCTTAAGTCTTGTCCTCAGAGAGGACCAGGGTTCTCTAGGTTGAAAGAGTGTTGTCTGAGACAAGCCAGTGAAGAGATATCTTTTCCAGTCAAACAATGTACTCCCTTAAAATGATCATGTTAAACAGGAGACAGTGCTTCGATACAATAGTAAGCAGTGAAGCTTAACTGATCCATACCGAAAAGCAAAGCGGTAAGGCGTGATTACATTAAAAACCAATATTGTAAAATCTTATCTGCAGTAAGGCGTGATTACATTAAAAACCAATATTGTAAAATCTTATCTGGCTTTCCCTGATGTAAAATACCTTACCTGTTGTTGTAACAACATATCCACTAAAACTCAACTAGAGGTTTACCTGGTAATCTTGTAGCATGGGGGAAGAACACATTGAGGCAGACACTGCCTCTGGAGGAGAGCACACAGGATTGCCAGCATGTCTGGGGCAGCGCATATCAAGAGAAGAGGTTTCTAAGCCCAGGAGCGTATCCACCTGTGCTCCTCCAGTCAGAGCAAGGTGGTTTGGAGGATCAGTTTTTCTGCTCTACTTAGTATGGGGGTGGTAACAAGACACAGGAGTTGGCACTGAGGTAAGAGTGGTGTGGAGGGAGAAACACCAAGCAGGCAGACAGTAGGCTTTCCCAGATAATTCAAAGGCATGCCGGACTTTCTGCTCAGATTTGAAGTTTAAGCTCTTTGGAGAAGACACACCACCTGAGATGTGCGGGGGACCTTTTCCCAGACATTAGAGGACACCAGCAGTTGGCTTGTTTCACTCCAGCATCCCCGCTCTGGTTCCTCTCACCTCATCCACTGTCCATCTGGCCACTTCGCTGGCTTGGATGTCAGCCACACCCGGAAGCAGCTTGCAGTGCTGCTCCCTGCCGAGGGGCATGTCTCGGAAAGGGTGGGCAGACATGGATGTCACGGAGAGCGACTGGTGAAGCATCTGCTGCACCTGTGCAGATGAGTACTCTGCAAGAGAGAGTAACATGGGGTGAGCAGAGCACAGACGCTGCAGGCCAGTGTGCAAGATGCACACCCAGTTAATACTGTTAGAAGAGTCCCCAGGCATAGCCTGTGCCACTTAAGTGACTTAGACCTAGAGGTGTGTAAAACTCAGAGTGTAAAACCTAGATGTGCTTGACCACAAGCCACATTCAAATATCTTTACAGGGTTCTGCTTGGCTGCAAGTGAAGTGCCAGGCTGTCCCTAGCTTTCTTCTCCTTACACCGAGAGTCAGATGAACCACAGAGCCATACAGAATGTGAATTCTGAGCAGACAAGCATACTGAACCACCTGGGATATATGTGTACACAGAGCAATTTCCTCCTAGAAACCACTTCTGACATCAATAAAGACAGAATGAGCCCAGGTTCATATCAAGCTCCCTAAATGCCCTTGTGATACTGAATATAGCGTATGAGTGTTCCCGTGAGAACGTGTGTGACATCAGCTGATGCTGTAGAGTTTTAGTGGTATGTAGTGATCTCGGATGGAGCAACACAAGGGCAGGGCAATCCAGGGAGAAAAGCTTCAGTTAAGATGCAATGTCTCAGCTCAGACATCCATAAGTGGGACCTTCTCTATTAAGCAGAAAGTCTGATAGATCCCCATTCTAAGGGACAAGGGATAATGGCTGCAGCTTGTCTAAGACTGGCTGTTCTTACCATGATGAAACCTATCAAATCTGGAGGCTTTTCAGCCTCACATTCTTCAACACTGCCACAGTAGTGGGCTTCTTTCAGGACTTTAGTCAGGCCCTGTAGATCAGACATGTCATCCTGAAGTCAGGGCACAAATGGGAACAGAAGCGTATCATATGGGACCAACATTGACTAGACAGGGAGTCTTGGCCAGCCTTGGGCTACATAGGAAGAACCTATCTCAACAAAACAAAGTGTTTTTACTTTTATGTTCTATCCAAACAGTTAAGATGGAACTTTGGGCACGGTAGGTCAGGAGAGGTCCTTAGGGTGCTGAGGAGATACAGTAGCTCAGTCAGTCAAGTGACTGCCTTGCAAACAGGAGAACCTGATTTCCAGAACTCATGTAAATGAGCTTGCCCTGGTGGCATGTGCTTGTAATCACAGTGCTGGGGACATGGGGATAGGAGACCACTGGGCCTCACTGCTCAGCCTACTAGCACAGCTGCTGAGCTCCAGGCTCAGAGATCACATCTCAAAGGAGGTGGACAGTGTTTGAAGATGACACTTCGGGTTGTTGATTTATCTCCATGGACACACACACACACACACACACACACACACACACACACATGAATGCACCACATCAACCAACACATAAGCATACACACATGCTCATGAACTTTCAACACATGAACAGACACACACAGATATATGAACACACACACGTAATGTGCACTACATTAGCACATACATAGTGTATGCATGTGAACCTGCATATACACAAATACAGACATGTATAGTAAAGACAGAAGTCTGATGGAATGGCCTTGTATCTCCAAATGGATAAAGAGCAAAAACATTACAAATGTCAACACAAATCTCTGCCTCTATAATGACATCCTTGAAGATACTTTTAGTATTCATTGCTAACTAAAATCTACTGAGACTTAGAGACTTTAAGAGACAGATCACAATGGATATGTTTCACACCGTTTGAAAGCCTCCTTTCCTGACGCAAGTGACAGGTTAAGCAGAAGTAGCTACACACCTGCAAGCTCATTATTGTGGTTTCATGTCTTACATTCTGTTAAGGATTCTTGAAAATCATTATGCAAATATTTCCACCTCATAATTACAGTTTTTAGTGTAAGAGGCTGACCTGTACTTTACGTGGCCAGTCACATACCTGTTTGGAATCAGGAAGGTACTGGGCTCTTCTGTCTAATGCAGCTCTTGTGGACTAGAGCAGACATCCTCATACTTACTAATGCTTGCTGTCTGCCCAGATACAAAGACAGCGAAACTGCAAGCTTCTTCCTAATTCTTATGCTCCAGTTGCAGCCAGTGGCAAATTCATCTCTAACTGCTGATTGTCCAAGCTGACCTTTTTAGTATGTAAATAGGTTATCTCCCTTCATGTAGTTCAGCCAACGGTATGTTAGGCTGCAGGTTCTGACAGGGAACTTCACACCTCCTTGGAAAGGCCAGTATGTTGACAAATGTGAATGTTCTTTAATGAAGTTGTCTGGTGGCATAAGACCATGTTTAAAAAAAAAAAAAAAGAAGAAGAAGGCCTTGAAGTCATTGGCATTAAGGGTCAGTGTATACTTGTAGTAGTGTAGCTGCCACAGATCTGCCTGGGAAACCAAGAGTTAAAACTCCTTCTTTAGGATTAAGGCTAGAGCCAAAAACTAAACCCTGGCCTTCCCTCGGCCCCAGCCTGGAAATTAGAATTGGGTTGTTTTGCTGAGTAGAATGGACTTAAAATTTATGTTAATCTCGTTATTCATCAATTGAACAAATTAACCAAGAACCATTTTCTAATATATAGACGGCTTTGAAAAGACACAGTGATTCTTATATCTGGAAGGCACAAAGATACCAAGGTTTTGTGATTAGATTTTCTTTTTTTATTATTTCACAAATAAATGCAGAAGGCATTTAAAATGGAAAAGAATCTGTGTGTTTCCAAGGAAGTATATTTTTGAACACTTCAGATTTGGAAGTAGCTGCGTATTTGGAGTATGTGGCTTACTCTTGGAAGCACACCTAAGGTGTGGCTGACAGCACCTGAACAGTACTGGGGTATCTCAGCCCACTGACGGCCACTGTCAGCTTGGTTCTGGTCTTTGGAACGTGGAGGAGAGTAACTTTAATTAGCTCAGGAGAAAAGATGGTCTTGAGCTAAAAAGATGGAATGGGCCAGCTCTACGTAGTACTCTTGATGTTGTCTATTAATTGCGAATAAAACAGTATGCCTTTATCAAACCCAGGTACTTATCTGAAGACTGGTGATATTTGTGTTACATATTTAATTTGAATGCTCATGAAAACTTGGACTAATATGTGAGATTAATATTATTATTATGTAAGATTAATTAACATGTGAGATTATTATTATAACAGGAGATCCTATCATGGACAGTGGGGAAATGCCTACCTCCTATGGGGCGGAGAGTCCTTACCCAGAGTCCAGCCTTTCCACTGGGGTAGAGCCGTGTTTGTTGATGTACAACCCTCAAGCTCTGAGGGATGTTTGCCAGATCTGTTACATGCCAAACACAAAATAACATTTTTCCTTACTGCTATCCTGTCAGGCTTCACATTATTGTAAAGAGGTAGAAGGGCTTTTGTAGTTGTGATGGTGAATATGGAGGCATATAACATTCCCAAAGCCAGCTTGGCTGGTTTTAATCCTCTGAAGGCTGAAACCCTTTGACATGCAGAACTGTGAGACCTGTGCTTAGATTTTCACACCTATTTGATCTTGGGAAAGACAGTGTGGTCAAGGAAACAAGACAGTAGCTGCTATCAAGGCAGAATGGGACATTCGTTCCCCCAGGCAAACTGAAGTGGATGTGTGGAAACCATCCTGATGTTACTAAAATGCACTTGGCCTACAGTGTTGGGGAATCATGTGACTCTTGACAGACTCTTAAAGCCAGGGTGATATGCATTATTTTAAATTCTGTGCATAAAGTTAAACGTTTGGGGGTAAAAAAAGTTCACTTAAAATTTGTTTTCAAGATGTAAGCATACTGATTTTCACTTTTTTCCTGAGCCAAGGCTGCTTCCCTCACAACAGGGACTCCATAGCTGTCTCTCAGCACTTGAAAGATCATAAGGCATTATTGGGAATACGAACAGTCAGGTTGCTTATAACTGCACTTCTGTCGTCAATGGCCAGATAAACCACCATGATCACATAAGAATCTCATGGAACTAAAAAGTTCTGATTGCCTTTTATTTTCATTGTGTCTTCTGAATGGTCCATTAGTAAATGCTCCTATGTTCCCATTGCCTATGATAGCATAAGAATTTATATGTATAGCTCAGAATATATCAGGTTACACAACAGACCTTAGATGTATAGCAGGCTAGCTCATCTAGAAGAGGGTAAGTACACTCTAGGATGGATGTACAATGATGAGATCACTGACCCATGCAATATTCAGAACTGTTCTGTCATTAATCAGCACATGCACGCCCTGTCCTCCTCAACAAAAAAGCAGCCGACCATTCCATCTAGTCACTTTGGGTGTTAGCATGAAGACAGCAGAAAGGTTCATATATATCTGCTTAATCCAAGGGACAGGGCATCCCAGCTGTTTCCACCAATCATGGCTGAGACCTGGGCTGCTTTCCAGTGACACAGTCTCATACAGTAGCTGCTCCTCCCATCTCCCTGAGAGCCAGGGAATTTCAGCCTGTGAAAGCAGCCTCCTGGGAGAGGTCTTAACATTCTAATTAATCAAACTTTCCTCTGTCCCAGAAACTGAAATGCATGTGTAATCCTTGCTTTACCTCTAATGGCAGCAGTTAAGAAACAACAATCAAAGCTACCCCTGCTTTTATGATGTCGTCCCTTTTAGGAAACAGTGAACATGATCCCCATTGCAGTCTCGGTCAAGGCTGTTTCTGGAAAAATTTGAAAAAACTTTTTATATCTTCCCTTTCTTTTTCAAGTTGGTATTCAGTTGTAGCCACCTGCAGCCACAAATCAACCGGGTTCACCTGAAAGGGAGCTGGGAACGAAAGCAGGATGGAGGGCGAAAAGAGATGAAGCCAAGACAAAGTTCTCTGATCAAGGCTCAATGCTTTAGTGTTCAGCTTTCAATTTAAAGGGAAGACCCCCGCCCAAACCCTTCCTTATTTCGGGTGGAGATGGGTGGGATAATCCGATCTAGGTCACGGTCACAGCCGGAGATATCTCAAGGCAAGCCCAAGGGCAGTTCTAAGATCTGTGCAGCCAAGGTGAGCAACTCCACTTAGATCCTATCACTTGGTCTGTTGTGGTAAACAAGGTCTCTCAGGCCTGCTCAAGGCTGGGGAAAGGGCACATATAATGATGTGTTTGATGATTTTTGTAAAGTCACTCAAAGCTTTGGAACACTCTCAAGGTTCCCAGGCCAATACATTCAGCTCTGTATCTCACCCCAGCATCCAAATGGGCCCTGGATCAGAGAGCCAAAGACTTGGCTGCACTCTCGGCTCTACAGAACCGTGCAGAGAAGAGCTTTCTACGGAAGGATGCAGAGACATTAGTTATCTGACAGAGATAGAAACTATCACTCGGGGAGAGACAGAGTCTCGGAAAACTGCAATCCAGGGGTTTTTTATTCGCAAAAATCCAAGGGATGGCTGCATGGGCCAGTTGTGGGTGGCATGTGACATGTGGACTGTCTTGTAGGAGGCTCCACAGGCTTGTGACACAGAACATAGTATGTTTTAGTCCTGACTCTGCAGACTGCTTTTTCTTAAAAAAAAAAAGAAAAAAAAAAAAAAAAAAAAAAGAAAAAAGAAAAAGAAAAAACCAAAAAACTAGAGTCCAAGGATTTTAATTCATCTGAAAATAGCTTGAAAGTAGGTCCCCACTTTCTCTTCATCCCCTCTTGCTTGCCCTTCCCACTTTTGCTGTACTCCCACAAGAGGAAGAGAAATCCTTTATGGAAATGTTCTTTTAAAAATATGGCTGTTTCTTCACAAAAGCTTCACACAAAAAAACTGAAGCAAGTGAGTCATAAGTGGTAAAGGCATGGCTGGGCCTCAGGCTATTTTTAATCCAGTAAAACAGAGACCCATTTCACAAGTAACCTCGTCAATGAAAGAGGGACCAATCCTAGCATGTTCTGTGCTCCACAAAGAGGAAATTAAAAAAAAGAAAAGAAAAGAAAAGCCTTAAAGTTGCAATTGGCCCTGAAATTCAATTACATGCATTTCCCATCCACCATGTAATCTGTGAGAGTCCCTGGCCTAGTCTCTGTAACACTGACTGAGAGTTGCTGTTTATGGCACTGTGCTCCCTTGGGAACTGCTTCTGGGGGAAAGAGGCGACATGCTGAGCTGGCTTCTCCCTCTGAAGACTGCCTGTGGTTCAGATTTGCTGGTCCATCTCCACTTCCATTTTTCCGTCTGCTTTGTTGCTTGGCACAAAGCGGGAAATAGACCAAGGGACACACAAATGTTATCTTCAAGACAATGGCTGTGCCTATGTGAGTGAGTGAGTGTGCCAAGCACAGTAGTTAATAGGTGGGTACTCAGCACAGGCTGTATCCTGTGTGCCCATTGAAGTGACTCATACATTCCTCAGGCTGTTCCTGTGTAGAATTCAAACACTGTGTCCACCTAGGCAGTGCCTTGAAGTTGTAGCTGTCAATCATCCTTCACTACCCATTGCTTCACTGTAGTTGGTTTTATATAAATGTGACTGGTGAAGGGCAAGTAAGTCCATGTGGTTTCACAGGTTTTCCACAGGGCTCCCAAGAGAACCAGAAGCTGGGCCCTGCCTGCCACAGTAGCCAGGAGACACGCGTGGCTTCGGAACATTTGCAGTGTAGAGTGCATTGAGATGTGCTATAGTATGTCTGGTATTTTGATGACACGGTGTAGAATGAACATGAGATAAGAACATCATGAATTTTGCTGGCAAACGGACGGAACTAGAAAATATCGTCTTGAGCGAGGTAACCTAAAGCCAAAAGGACATACATACATGGTATATACTCATGAGTATATATTAGCCATAAAATACAGGATAACTATGCTACAATCCACAAACCCAAAGAAGCCAAACAACAAGGAGGGCCCAAGGGATGATTGAATCTCACTCAGAAGGGGGAATGAAATAGATATTGGAGGTAAATGAAGAGAGGGATCTGGGTGGGAGAGAGGAGAGGGAGGGGAATGAGGCAGGAGGATCAGGTATAGGGATCTCAGGGGGGAGAGAACAGAAACCATAGTGAGGGAGGCATCTCTAGGACATGCCAGAAACCTGGGGTCAGGGGATGTCCCAGGATGTCTATGGGGCCAACTCTAGCTGAGACTCCTAGCAGTAGGGGACATGGATACTGAAGCAGCCACTTCCTGTAGCCAGGCAGGACTCCCAGTGGAAGGATAAGAACAGCAACCTACCCAAAATATGTCCTGACTACTAGATGTGCCAGGACAAAAAGAACAAAGACTGAGGGAATGGCCAACCAATGACTGTCCCAAACTGAGACCCATCCTATTGGTAAGAACTAATCCCTGAAACTATTGATGATACTCTGGTAGGCTTGCAGACAGGAGCCTAGCATAGCTTTTTCTGAGAGGCTCCACCCACCAACTAATGGAAACAGATGCAGAGACCCACAGCCAAACATTAGAGGGAGCTTGGGGAGTCTTGCGGAGGAGCTGGAGGAAAGATTGAAGGATCTAAAGAAGATGGGGATTCTACAGGAAGACCAAAAGTGTCAAATAGCCTGGACCCTGGGGCTCCCAGAGACTGAACCACCAATAAAAGATCAAGCATGGGTTGGACCTAGGCCCCTCACATACACATGTAGTAGATGTGCAACTTGGTCTTCATGCATGTTCCCAAACAACTGGAGTGGGGCCTGTCTTAGGGTTTCCATTGCTGTGAAGAGACACCATGACTAAAGCAATGCTTATAAAGGACAATATTTAATTGGGGCTGGTTCAGAGGTTCAGTGCATGATCAACAAGGTGGGAACCAGACTACCATCTAGGTATGCATAGTGCAGGAGGAGCTGAGAGTTCTACATCTTCACCCAAAGGAAGCCAGGAGCAGACTGTCTCCCATGTGGCTAGGAGGAGGGTCTCTAAAGCCCATCCCCAAAGTAACACATTTTCTCCAACAAGGCCACACCTCCTAAATAGTGCAATTCCCTGGGACACGCATATACAAATTATCACAGAGGCTGACCTTCAATCTGTTGTCTGCCTGTGGATCCCATTCCCCTAACTGGAATGCGTTGTCTGGCTTCAGTGAGAGAGGATACACCTAGACCTGCAGTGATTTGATGTGTGTGGGGGAGGTGGGTGACACCCAGGAGTCTCCCCCTTCTCTGAAGAGAAGAGGAGGGGAGAATGAGAGGATCTATGTGAGGAGGGACTGGGAGGAGGGGGGATGAAAAGTGAATAAATAAAATGTAATTAATAAAAAAAGAACATGAGTACGTATCCTTTTAAAATGCCTTTGTTTAGATACTGTAATGATAATTTGGAGACACTGATTTAAATGAAATATGCTCCTAAAATAAATTTGACTCATTTCTTTAAACATGATCAACTATTGCTCTAGTTTTATTGGGTGCTTCAAGTCTGGTAATTGCTGAGACCATGGCTTCTGTTGTGACCTTGTACTGATGATGACACATTTGCCTGTGTTCCTCTCCAGTTCCAGCTTCAAGAATAGTGAAAGAGAGGGAAAGTAGAGGCTATAGAGGCCCCAGAAAGGGAAAGTGCCAGAGACAGGTTGCCAGAGTTCTTGTCTTGGCTACAAGGTTGAGCAAAGCATTTCTCTGGCACACAGTGGATAGTGACTTTGGGTAATAAAATGTTGACTGACTAGATGCATAGTTTAAGAAAGTAGGATTTTCCCCACTAGCTGTATTAGTCAGGGTTCTCTAGAGTCACAGAACTTACGGAATGTTTCAGTTTATTAAGGGAATTTATTGTAATGAATTATAGTCTGCAGTCTAGCTCACCCAACAATGGGCAGCTGTGAATGGGAAGTCTAAGAATCTAGTAGTTGCTCAGTCCCACGAGGCTGGGTGTTTCAGCTTGTCTTCTGTATATGCTGAAATGCTGAAGAAGTAGAATCCAACAGATGTGCTGACAAGCAGGTGAAAAAGAGTGTGTCATCTTCTTCCAGTGTCCTTATGTAGGCCTCCAGCAGGAGGTATTGCCCAGATGAAAGGTGCGTACCACCACACCTGGATTTGGAACTTGCTCTGTCCCAGGCTGGCCTTGAACTCAGAGATCTGCTTGTCTCAGTCTCCTGGGATTAAAGGTGTGTACCACCTTGCCTGGACCTAAGCTTTTCATTGCCACTATGCCTCAAGATTTGGATCAAAAGTGTGTGTCATCTAATGTTAAGATCCAGGTCAGAAGCCCATGTCTTCCAGCCTCAAGATCTGGATCACAGATATACCCTCAATTTCTGGGTTGTAACTCATTACAGATGTAGTCAAGTTGACCACCTGGAATAGCTATCACACTAACTATCAAAAAGAAAAAGTGTCGTGGAAAACTAGGTTAGGGACCAATCAGGTTTAGAGCTGTTTCCTCTGAATCTTTCACTCCATATTTGAGCCACAAATAAGAGAGGCTGGGTGACTCTGCTGCCTTCTTTCCCTCCTGGGTCCTGATGACTGGAAAGAAGCATGTTAGAGAATGGGGGCTTTCCTCTGTCCGCATTTCCCAGCATTCTTCCTCAGCCGGCCTGAAGGAGCTCGGCCTATGAGAGGCTCCAGCTTGTATCTTTATAGTTCTGCTCCCAGCTCAGTCTCTCGAACTGAGGTAGAAGGGAATACCAGGCTCATGCCTCATTCTTCCTGGCAGGCTTCTCCTCACTAATCAAAGGGAATTCCCAACATTGCCTTCCCTCCTGAAGAAGCCTCACAGAAACATCTCTGAAGAAGCACTATTCCTGACAGGCATGTTCTACAGCTGCTCAGGGAGAGAGGTTTTGTGCAGGTGACCCAGCTCTGCGCTGTGTCCTCTGCAGTACTGGGCTGTGCGGAGTCCCCTGCCAGAGCCTACTCCCACTCATCTCTGTCACTTCGCCAATTCTGAGGGAACGTAAGCCTGTTTTCTCTCTCCTTTGGGGGCTGCCACCAAACGTGTGGGATACAGTCTTCCTGGCATCCCTTGCTCCTTCCACACAAGCTCTTTCGAAGAGACTTACTGCCAAACCTGCCTGCATTCTGATGGAAGCAGCCACTCAAAACAGAGGAGGTGTCACAGTGAACTTCCTAGAGCTGTATGTTAAGGCTCTGGGCATTCGGCTTCAATACTTGAGGGTAGAGTTCCAGTTGTTTTCTTTCTATTTCTTTCAGCAAATAACCTTTAAGGTGGTACTCGGTCCCAGGGTGTCTGTTCCCCAGCTTTTTAGATTCAGAGGCCTGGAATTGTTGCAACTTATGCTTCATTTTTCTCCAGCTTTTTCCTTGTTGGGTTGTAACTGCTGCCTCCCCAGGTGGCCTCACAGGGCCCTGATAAAGGCTACCTATCTCATTAGGCTTCTGTCTTTTCTAGTGGAGTATATGTTCAGGGCTGCCTCAGAGACCTGTGGTGTGTCACAGGCCTGACATGGTGACCACAGTCCAGGTGCCCAAATACTCAATGTGATTGTTGAACCATCTGAGGAGTTTTGTTGCACAGGTAAATAGTGCAGAGCAAATGCTCGTGGGCCAAGCCAGCAAAACTGGTGAATCTCAATCCTGTGCTCTCTCATTTGCAAGAGCACTCATTCCTAAAAAGGCCAGGGATTGTTTATGGTGTGAAATCAAACTTGCCCCTCAATTAGCTATTGGAGAGAAAGACAGCCCTTCATCATATTTTTTAAATTAACACAGAAAAATCCCACATTGAATTTATGTTACTCGTCCAAGAAGACTTCGGTGCAATATATTTTCTGACGGCCAAAGGCTGACCTTTTAGTTTTATATCTGCTTTGCACAGCTTGAGATATTATTAATTAACTTCTTTGAATACTACAATCCAATTGTTCAACATGTATTCATGTATCTTCTGCAACATCAACCTTCTTTGTGCACAAAGGTGAGAATATAATTGAATAATCCCTGGTGCCAACTTGATTCGTGAACCAGAGTGGCTATTCTTATGTAGTTTTTCCCCTCACTGGTGGCTTCTTACCCAGATCCACACATCCCAGGGAAGAGAAGCAAGCTGTGCTTCCTGCATCCATAGGTCTGAGCAGTTTTACCGTCTGACACATCTGTAACAGTACTTTCGTGGAGTCCAGTAGATTTGCATCTTAGCCATGAAATGCCAACTGGAGACAATTGAGTAAGCATGGCAGAGATGGGATTGGGCTCAGGATCTTCACTCTGTGACGTTCTTTAACCTGTTTGTCTGACAGTGAGTCTCATATAGTCCTGTCTAAAAGTGTGAGGCTGGAGTAACACTCCGAGGGAGGGGTGTTGTCCCATCATTCCCAGAAAAGTCAGAGCCACTTCTTTTTTAAGAAGGAATTTTTGTGGAGGCATCAGTGTTCCAGACAGGTCCTTGTAGACAGTGCCTGATTTTTTTTCCTCAAAATAACTGTATTCCAAGATTCTCCTAGGATCAGAGAAACAGCTGAAGGAGCACTGAAAGCAATAGGAAGACGAGTGCTGGGCAGTGCCTGTCAGGTGACAGCAAGCACTGTCTCTACCCCAACTGCTATGCCTGCCACTCTGGGGGATGGAGCCTTGACTCACCCTTCTTATCTGTCCCTGGCACAGAGAGCCACTTTCTTCCCTGGCAGCAAGATCAGCACAGATGCCAATTCCTACAGGGAGCCAAGGGCTCCCCTCATGGTCATGGTGACGTGTTCCCAGACAGAAGGCAAGAAATTAGTCTGTGGTCCAAGTGACTTCTCCACATGTCTTGGAGGCCACCTGTTTTCATGGGTACAGGTGCTCCCACTACCCTGTGCACAGTCTGAAAGTGATCCTAGAAAGGGGTGTCCTTAATTAGGTATTTGGAAAACTGATATCATATCTACTATTTCATTTAAATAAAAGTACAGAATAGTCCATATTAACTTTGACAAGTTAATTGCCTGCAAAACACTTCATGTAACATTTTTAACCCCAAAGCTTGTGTCTGGGGTGTGGGGGTAGGGCAGAGTTACTAGAAGCCATTGTACCCACTTAGGTTCATATCATACCTTCCTGTGACATTTATTAAGAATTTAGGAAAAATAAGGTTATAGCCTTCTTTCATATTTCTCTTCTGGGAAGATTTCACTAAAGAAACCACTTACTGGCCATTTTCTTCATATAGGAATCCTCTTTATTTATAGTGTTTTTCCTGCTCTGCAGAAATGCCAGATACACAGAGGCACAAAGGAAGGTCTGATCCTCCAGCAGCCTTGGCTGGTTTGTCTTGTCTGTTGCATTCACCAGGACTAGAGGAGGTGAGGTCGGTGCTTCTGGCAACTGTATCTGGCATAACTGTATCTGATGTATCCCAATGGCAACTGTATCTGGCATAACTGTATCTGGTGTATCTCAATGGCAACACTATTTGGTGAACCCTAATCTCTTCAGCTTAGCTTTAGATGAGCTTCTTCTGCTTGCTTTTCAGGTTCTCTTCAGTCCAGTGCAAACAGATCAAATATGGAGCTCCTACATGCTGTCAGGAGCCAACTTCCCACCTCTTAGCCATACTGCCCTCTGGGTTCCTCACACTGGTGATGTTTTCTGCTAATTATAGAAGACATAGCAATCAGTGAAGATCAGAAAATGTTAGAGCAGAAAATAAAATTATGACTTGCCTTTTAAGCAGATGAAATTGCATTTTGTTTTTGTATTTTATAGACTTTAGTCCGTCCTTTAGAAATTATCAGAATTACGGAAACAAGTAAACTATACAAGATTTTAAGAAAGTTGACTTGTTTGGAACTGAAATAAAAACAACATGCAAAAGATGCTATACACTTTGGGTTTCTGGTTCAAGCCTGTTCAGAAATCCTGTTACGGCCTCATGAAGTTATTCTGTTCAGATTTTACCATTCTAAATAAATAAAACCAGATGTCAACACACACAAATAATATATCTGACCTTTTCCAGTTTATCAGCATTCAGCAGAACTGGGAACTTTAAATACATTCTCTCTCTGAAAAAAAAAAAGAAAAGAAAAGCACAAAAACCTACAACAACTAAATATTTAGATGGTAGAATCAAA